AAAACTGCCATTTCTTAATGACATTTCATCTCATCTCCTTAAATTGCTTGCTCCAGCTAGGGCCACGGTTGCAATAGGGAAAGCAGAGAAGCCCAGAGAAGCGGCTCATTCTGGGGGATCCTGAGCTGCTCCCAGGCCAACTTCCTCCAGCAGGTTCGGGGATGACTTCGGGGTGTCGTCCTCCCACCTTACGGCCTCCACACATAATGCCCTCTTGAACTCGGCTATGCTTTGACACCCTGTCCATGAATATCACGAACAGGAGTAGAGGCAAGGCACAACCTTGGTGGGCTCCAACACCCACACTGAACTAGCTTGATTTAATGCCGAGTATTTGGACAGAGCTCTCACCCCAGGCTCCCACAGAATATCTCAGGGAACACATTTGTAAGCCTTCCCCAAGTCCACAAAGCACATGTAGACTGGTTTGGCAAACTCCCATTCCCCCTGAACAATCTGTGTGAGTATGAAAAGCTGGTCCATTGTTCCAGACCTGGGATGGAATCCGCATTGTTCTTCCTCAATCTGGGGTTCAACTATTAGTCTGAGTCTTCTTTCCAGCACCTTGGAATAAACTTTCCCAGGGAGGCTGAGCAGTGTGATACCCCGATAAATGGAACACACTCTCCGATCCCCTTTCTTTAAAATAGGGACCACTGCCCCAGTTTGCCAGTCCAAGGGCTCATTCCCAAGATCCACATTGCAGAGGCATTTCAGTCATGACAGCTCCACAACGTTCAAGGCCTTAAGTATTTCCATCTCATCCACTCCTTCAATCTCATCCACTCCTGGTGCCTTGCCACCGCGACCGCTTGCCAACTACCTAAGTGACTTCCACCAGGGAAATGGAGTCTGATGACCCAGAAACCCCCATGAGGCATGTCTCTCAGTTTTAAGAGTTCCTCAAAGTACTTCTTCCACTGACTGACAATCCTCATTAAAAGTGAAAGTTTCTCTGCCTTTGCTGTGTACAGCTTGGGCAAAGCCAAAACCAGATGGTGATTGGTTGACAGCTCAGCACCTCTCTTCACTCGAGTGTCCAGAACATACAGTCTTAAGTTAGATGAAACAGTAACAGAGTTGATCATTGACATTTGACCCAAGGGATTCTGATACAAAGTACAATCCCATTTTCAAAAAAGTTGGGACGCTGTGCAAAAAGTAAATTAAAAACAAAATGTAATGACATGCCAATCATTTAAACCCTATATTTCATTGAAAAAAGTACAAAGACAACATATCAAATGATGAAACTGAGAAATTTTATTGCTTTTTAAAAAGCATCTAAAAATCATCTACAGTACATAATATCATTAAAAGATTCAGAGAATCTGGAGAAATCTCTGTATGCAAGGAACCAGGACTAAAAACAGTATTTGCTGGTCATGATCTTTGGGCCCTAGGTGGCACTGCATTAAAAACAAACATGATTCTCAGATACACTTCTGAAAACCACTGTCTGTGAAAACAGTTTGTCGCTGCATCCACAAATGCAAGTTAAAACTCTAAAACACAAAGAAGAAACCACATATAAACAGGTTCCAGAAATGCTGCCACCTTCTCTGGGCCTGAGCTCATTTAAAATGGACTCTGGGGAAGTGGAAAAATGTCCTGTAGTGCGATGATTCAAAATTTGAAATTCTTGTTGGAAATCATGGACACTGTGTACTCCAGGTTAAAGACCACTCAGTTTGTTATCAGTGCACAGTTCAAAAGCCAGTATTCATGATGGTATAGGGGTGCATTAGCGCACATGGCATGGGAGACGTGCACATCTGTGAAGGTACCATTAATGTTGAACAATATATACATGTTTTGGCAACATATGCTGCCATCCAGATGACGTCTTTTTCAGGGAAGGCCTTGATTGTTTCAGCAAGACAATGTCAAACCACATTCTGCATGGATAACAACAGCATGGCTCTGTATTGAAAGAGTCTGGGTGCAAAACTGGCCTGCCTACAGTCCAAACCTGACACCACTGATAACATTTGGGGCATTATGAAATGAAAAACACGACAAAGGAGATACCAAACTGTTGAGCAGAAAAAACATTTCTCTTTCAATACTACAGCAATTAGTCTTCTCAGTTCCCAAACACTTACAGAGTGTTGTTAAAAGAAGAGTGGTTAACATGCCCCCGTCCCAACTTTAGAATGTGTTTTTGGCATCAAATTCAAAATATATATATTTTTCAAAAAATAAATACATATATTTTTCAAAAAACAATCAAATTTCTCAGTTTCAACATTTGATTTGTTGTCTTTGTAGTATCTTCCTTTAAAAATATGGTTTACATAATTTGCACATCATTGCAGTCAAATTTTATGAGCATTCTGCACAGCATCTCAACTTTTTTGGAAATTGGGCTGTACAATTATGAACATCCTTGTGTTTGAACTCGGTGTTCCTTATGGACAATCCATGACTAGCACAGAAGTCCAATAACAATTCACCATTCAGGTGTAAATCAGGCAAGATGTTCCTCCCAGTCACCCCTCTCTAGGTTTCATTGTCAATGCGAGCATTCAAACCTCCCAGCAAGACTACAGAGTCCAAAACCCCGCCCACTCGCTCCGAGAAGACTGAATACTCTGAATTGTTGTTTCATGCATAAGCAGTTTTCCTCCTGACATTTCAGACAATGGAAATTGTGACCTGACCTTGTGAAAGCACCTTGCGTTAAAACCTTCCTCTGCTTTGCAGGCATCAATTAGCTTCATTTTCAGATCCACAGCCAGATGCTTAAAAAAGCCCATGGTCATTATGCATTTGCAAATAGTCTAAAGAGTTTGAGAATTTATTATGCTCTGATAATTCTTACCCTAATGACAATTCTTGACTTGCCTAACCAGTCCTGACAAGTCAATTTAGGCCTAGTAATTTATTTTAGTTAGGAATCTTTACAACTGGAAGTCCAAACCTTTGCACATGCTACCATTGCTACTATATTTTATTTTAAAGGAATTAAGTATAACTGTTTTTTAATAGTTTGTAGCAGGTGGGTTCATTTCCTTTTATTAAAAAAACAATAAATTATGTTATCTGGGTAGGAGTGCTTAACCTTTTGCATACAACTGTAACCTACTATTAGAAGCTCAATAGAAGCTTAAAGCAGCCACGATACTTACTCTTAAAGTTAAACAGATCTTTTCTACCGTGTATTGAGGGAGCTGAGTGGTCCAATTACTGTGAATGCACTGATGCTCCCTAACATCCACCTGGACTAAACTAGACCCTTCCACCATAAACTGATCAAACACTGATCACATTATATGAAATGGGCATATATATATATATATATATATATATATATATATATATATATATATATATATATATATATATATACATATGGGGATATATATATACACACACACAAAGACAATAAAGACCACATGACTTTACTCGGCTCTGGGTTACACAGGATCAGTCACTCCAGGCTTATTACTCCATAATTATTACTATTATTACAATAATTCAGACAGTAAAAACAACACATGCTGCAGATTCATACTGGATTAAAATCACTCCACAATTATTACTGTCAGACTGTAAAAACTACAAACACAGCGGATTCACAATGTATTAAAATCACTCCATAATTATTACTGTCAGACTGTAAAAACTACACACACTGCAGATTCATACTGGATTAAAATCACTCCACAATTATTACTGTCAGACTGTAAAAACTACACACACTGCAGATTCATACTAGATTAAAATTACTCTACAATTATTACCGTCAGACTGTAAAAATGACACACACTGCAGATTCATACTGGATTAAAATTACTCTACAATTATTACTGTCAGACTGTAAAAACTACACACACTGCAGATTCATACTGGATTAAAATCACTCCACAATTATTACTGTCAGACTGTAAAAACTACAAACACAGCGGATTCACAATGTATTAAAATCACTCCACGATTATTACTGTCAGACTGTAAAACTACACACACTGCAGATTCATACTGGATTAAAATTACTCTACAATTATTACTGTCAGACTGTAAAAACTACACACACTGCAGATTCACACTGGATTAAAATCGCTCCACAATTATTACTGTCAGACTGTAAAAACTACACACACTGCAGATTCACACTGGATTAAAATCGCTCCACAATTATTACTGTCAGACTGTAAAAACTACACACACTGCAGATTCACACTGGATTAAAATCGCTCCACAAGTATTACTGTCAGACTGTAAAAACGACACACACTGCAGATTCATACTGGATTAAAATCGCTCCACAATTATTACTGTCAGACTGTAAAACTACACACACTGCAGATTCATACTGGATTAAAATCACTCCACAATTATTACTGTCAAACTGTAAAAACTACACACACTGCAGATTCATACTGGATTAAAATCGCTCCACAATTATTACTGTCAGACTGTAAAACTACACACACTGCAGATTCATACTGGATTAAAATCACTCCACAATTATTACTGTCAAACTGTAAAAACTACACACACTGCAGATTCATACTGGATTAAAATCACTCCACAATTATTACTGTCAGACTGTAAAAACTACACACACTGCAGATTCATACTGGATTAAAATCGCTCCACAATTATTACTGTCAGACTGTAAAAACTACACACACTGCAGATTCATACTGGATTAAAATCACTCCACAATTATTACCGTCAGACTGTAAAACTACACACACTGCAGATTCACAATGTATTAAAATCACTCCACAATTATTACTGTCAGACTGTAAAAACTACACACACTGCAGATTCACAATGTATTAAAATCACTCCACAATTATTACTGTCAGACTGTAAAAACTACACACACTGCAGATTCATACTGGATTAAAATCCCTACAATTATTACCATCAGATTGTAAAAAGTACAGTACCATATACATTGTATTTATGTTGACCACGGGAGCCTGTATATATCCTCAAGAGCTTATGGATACAGATTATGAAAAGAGAGAGATCATCACACTTACAGCCAGTTGAGAGAGGGCATGTGAGTGCAGAGCCTGGATGAAGGTAACAGCTCCAGTGAGGTGTTCACCATGGACCTGTAAACACCAGCAACCCATATCTGTCACTATTAACCACAATCCCCTGCAGCCTACTCCAGTTTCTCACTCTGAACTTTAGGAACAAACTGAGAACTTCAAACTAATGTTTACTTCAGTTTAAGCAAAGCTCAATGTTTCTCTGATACAGAGTAAATGAGAATGCAGTGGGCAATACAGTGAATGGTTTCTCTTCAAAAAGCATGTAGAGACAATTGCAAAGCAAAACCTAACCAACCCTGCAGTGCCCACTGTACCACACACAGAGAGAGAAAACGCAGATACGTACAGGAAGAAGAGAGACTTCAGGCCGGTGAAGGTGTTCACAGTGATGCTTTTCAGAGGATTGTCGTCTAGAATTCTGAGCATAAAAAACAAAGATAATTCACAGAAAGCGTCAAAAAAGGGGAGGAACAGGCACATTCTTGACTTGACATTCATGACTTGCTCTCAGTATTTGGTCAATCAGCAGGCTTAGATGCTTTTACAGGCTTCCTTAAAGGAATATTCCAGCGTTTTTTCAGCCTCATCTCTCTCTCTCTGCTCCATCTGCCTCGTACGGTCGGTGAGCAGAAACAATAACGTTGACGTTTCCCAGTATTTAGAAAAGAAAAGACAACCTGCTGATTCAAAACACACTTATAACATATAACATAATTTGATTTTCAATATTTTATATGTTAAAAAGTCTTGATTTTACAGAGCTCTAATCATGTACTACAGAGAGGGGTTCAGCTCAGATGATGCCTGACCCAAAAAATCACAACCGTTTTAACCATAATGTATAATTGATTTATTAATAATTATGCATGGGTGCATGCATAGCACTTTACTCTGATTGGACGCATTCAGATACCAACATTTGATCACTAGCACTGATTTCCACAGAAGACGATAAATGAGAGACCCTCGGTTATATATTTCAATTTACTGTTTTAAATTTGATTTCAACTGTCATGGTTTCCCTTTGTTCCTGTTCCTGTGTCTGTTACTTGCTCTGTTTTGTAGCCATGTGTTTTCTGCCATGTGCTCGTGTTTTTGTTTTGGTTCTTGTACTCCGCCCTTTCCCCCGCCTTCCCTATTAGTATCCTCACCTTTCTGTAGTCTCTGTCTCCTCCCTCTCCCAGGTGTTCCCCATTTGTTGTAGCCTTTATCTAGCCCTTTGTTTCAGTCAGTGTTTGGTCTGATCTACACGTCACTTTGTCTGATATAGTGGTTCTTTCCCTACCTTGTGTTTTGTTTGCTCTTTGTGTTTCTTTGTTTAGGCCTTGTAGTTAGTTACTTTGTATTTTGTAGTTTGTTTTGGTTATTAAAGTCTGCTTGCACTTATATCCAGCCTCCCTGCTCATTCCATACAGGACACTTACATCTTTAGTGGTTATAGTTCCAAAACATTTTTATTACAAAAAAAGTTTGGTAACACTTTCTATGAATGTCACATTTGTAAGCATCTATAAACATGTTTAGAACATGTTATAATGTATTCATAAGGCATTATAAACATGGTTATAAATATTTATAAAAAAGAATTACACTGAATTACACTTTGTAGCCATGTTTATTATACATTATGAATTGCTAATGTAATGCATTATAAATAGTGTTAATAACATGTTATAATGTCAGGGCCAAAGAAGTCAGTCCAAGCTTAAAGAGCGTAAAGTAAAGACGAATACCAAGCTAACGGTGGTGTACATTACCTTTCCCACATTGGGTAAAACACTGATGGCATCACTAGTTTAAACTCTGACATTTGAAGCCTGTAATGAGCTTTATTGTGTATGTTTTAGTGTTTCAGTAAATCCTTCAGTAAATACTTCAACTTGAAGCCTCAATCTTAACACTGGTGGAGGCTTTAGTACAGTACGCTTCACTTTACTTAGAGCGGACAAATACGACTTATGAGCTCTTATAATTTGTTATGATCAGTACTTATGATGTATTATGTTAACAATTCATAATGCATAATAAACATGGCTATAACGTATAATGCATTTTAATAAATATTTATAGCTATGTTTATAATGCCTTATGAATGCATTATAACATGTCATGAATGTGTTTATAGATGCTTACAAAGGTGACATTCATAGAAAGTGTTACCAAAAGTTTTTCTTGCTTCAAAAAGTTTTTAAATGTAGGCTATGGAAAAGGAAATTGTCAGCAATATTCCACGAATGTCGACAAAACTTTTTGTTCATACAAGATTGTTTATCAATACTTTAAATGCTGCAAAATCCTTCATTCATTTTTTTCATTAAGTGTAACATTTACTCTTACATTTAGCATCATATTACAGATTTCCCCCCAGATTTGCCAGAAAAGCATACAGCCTTTCTAAATGGAAAATGCTCAACCAGCTCTATAATAAAAAAATAATATTATTTTAAATAAATACATAAATATATAACAAATCCTCATTAGCAGGTTATGAGGAAGTCAGGAAAGCCAAAAGGAACAGAAGTTAAAACATATCCAAAATTTGAAATGTAAACATGCCAAACTTTTTTTTATCGATAAACCAAAAAAATGTTTTTTGGCACCACTTTAAAATAAGACTAAAAATAAAATAAGACTGGTTATTAATTAGGTCATAAAGACCCTAAAATCATTAATAAGCAGTTAGAACACATAAATGAAGAGAGCAACAGTGACCTCCTGTTTGCCAAATAGTGAACCCGCATTCATTTATACTGTTAAACCTCAGATTTTGATGTTTAGTGATCTTACTTTTTTTCTTCTCTGTCAGTCAGCATTAAACCTGTTTCATCACATACTCATATTCAATACTTTACCCCTTTTTTATTATTGTGTTATAGATTATGAATGATTTTTAAAGTGTTTACAACTCAACAAATAATCAAACTAATTTTGAACCATTAATAAACACTTAATAAGGGGAGTCTTATTCTAAAGTGGTACTTGTTTTTTTAGTGGGAAATGATGTCATTACAAAATTGTCATCACCAAAAGACCAGTTAATGGAAATAACCTGCTCGTCAGCAAAAAGCAGTGAATAAGTGGATGTCCTCTACAAGGATTAAACAGAAATATGTATCATATTGGAAAAACATAAATCATAGAATATAAAATGTGCCATAACTTTGGCACAGTCCACATTTTATGTTTTTTTTTCACCTAATAAGTTAAATTCTTAAAATAAACAGTAAATATGCATTAAAATGTGCATTTTCTTTCTAACTTACTTTCACATAGAAAATCATCAAAACTTGGGAATTGACCAGGGGTGCCCAGACTTTTGCATCTTTAAAATAGAACTACTCTTCACTTCATCTTCTGCACTCTACCTACTGACCCTTGAGACATACACTGTGTGTACAAAAGTATTCAGACCCCCACTTCTAGTAAATTCAGTTCCTTGAAGGTGCACCTACTGCTGACACAGCTTATATAATCTCTATGTTAAAGCAATGACCAATAGAATCGGATGCTCTGGTGCAGCTGCCCATGATTCACCACACCTAATGCAAAACCTTAGCTAGAAGAGTAAAAAGCCCCCCAGCACTGGACTGTGGAGCAGTGGAACTACACTCTCTGGAGTTATGGAGCTCCATCCAATACCTTTGGGATGAACTGAGGTGATTCAGAACCAACCATCTAACATCAGTACCTGACCTCACTGATGCACTTATGGCTGAATACATTCAAATCCTCACAGCAATGTTCCAACATCTAGTGTGAAGCCTTCTCAGAAGAGCAGAGGTGGTTACTGCAGCAAAGGGGGACAAATTCCCTATTACGACCCTTAATTTCAGAAGAGATGAGGGATGAGTAGGTGTCTGTCGGTCAGTCCCAGGTCTTGTAAAGGTCCCTCATGAACACTGCTCACTGGAACAGCTTCAGTAAATGCTGATGGTGGTGCTGGAGCTGAGTGGCCCTATTGTGGGTGAAGCTGAATGTAAATATACAGCAGGTTTTACTCACAGCCAGTTGAGTTGGTGGAGGTCAGCGAAGACTCCAGGTTTTAACACAGAGATGCAGTTCTGGCTCAGAGATCTGGAACAGAAGGCAAACTATAGTACAAACCTTCACAAACACGACTCTATTATACCCTGTTCATACAGATACAGTCATGCAGATCTCTCTCTCACTCCGCTCTCTCTTCCTCCTTCTCTATTTCTCGGGCTCTCTCTCTCAATCTTTTTTTCTGCTTTTCTCTTTTTTTTCTCTCTTCTCTTTTTCCGCATCACTTTCTCTTTCTCTTGTTTTTAGCTCCTCTCTCTCTGTTTCTCTTTGCTAACTCTCTCTCCTCTCTCTATTCTCTCTTTGTTTTTCTCTTCTCTCTTTCTTTGCTCCCTCTCGCTCTCTGTTGTCTCTCTCTGTCTCCACTTCCATTCAGTACTTTATTGGCATGACATGAGTTTCAAATGAAAATTTTGAAAATGTAAGATTTTCTATTTATGCATCTCTCATTCTTTCTCTCTCTCTCTCTCTCTCTCTCTCTCTCTCTCTCTGTATCTGTCTGCCTCTTGCCCTTTCTCTCTTCCTGTCTTTTCCTCTTTCTTTTTTTCTCCCCTTTCCTTTCTTTCTTTGTCCCTACTTCCCTCTCGTTTTTTCTTTTTCTCTTAATCTCTGTCTCTCTCTGTCTGTCTCTTGCCCTTTCTCTCTCCCTCTGTCTATCTCTCTTTTCTTTTCTTTCATTCTTTCTTTATTTCCTTCACCTACTTCCCTCTCATTTTTCTTTCTTTCTCTCTTTACCTCTCTTTCTCTCTCTCTCTTTTTCTCTTTCTTTCACATCTTTTCTCTTTGTCCCTACTTCCCTCTTATTTTCTTTCTTTCTTTCTTTTTCCTTGACTCTACTTCCCTCTCATTTTCTTTCTTTCTCTCTTTACCTCTCTCTCTCTTTCTCTCTCTGTCTTTCTTTCTCTTTCTTTCACATCCCTTTATTTGTCCATACTTCCCTCTCATTTTCTTTCTTTCTTTCTTTCTTTCTTTCTTTCTTTCTTTCTTTCTTTTCTTTTCTTTTCTTTCTCTCTCTCTCTCTCTCTCTCTCTCTCTCTCTCTCTCTCTCTCTCTCTCTCTTTCTCTCTCTCTCTCTCTCTAACGTGTTTTGAAAATGCACACAAAAAAAAAGTTTTACACTTTGACAAAGTGGAACAGTTCAAATATTTCTGAAGCTGAAACGTGAAAAAGAGTGATGGAAAAGGGTTTTTCAAATAAAAGATGATGTATTGAGAGCGGTCTGGTAAAATTGCCTTCCCAGATGCAAGGTGGATGTCGTTGGGGTGGCATGGAGACTTCAGCCCTCATTAGGCAGGCCGCTGCAAATAACACGGCCATAAAAGATGGCAAATCGAGTTAAATCTCTCCATCCTCCTCATTTCGATGCAGCCCCTAAACATTACTGAACACGTCATCTAAAGTTCCTTCGTGTAACTCTAGCGGATGGAAACACTTCATTCGCTTTTTCTCTGCCGAAATTTCGTAAATCTCTGTTATTCACTTTCTTTCCTACTTTCCTCTTGTTTTATTTCCTTCTCTCTTTATCTCTCTCTTTCTCTCTGTCTATCTGTCTCTTGCCCTTTCGCACACCTCTCTCTGTTTCTTCTCTTTTCCTCTCTCTCTGTCTTTCTCTCCTTCCCTCTTTTTCTTTGTCCTTACTACCCTCTCATTTTCTTTCTTTCTCTCTTTATGCCTCTTTCTCCATCTCTCTCTCTTTCTCTCTCTCTCTCTCTCTCTGTTTCTCTCCCTTTCACTTGCCTTCTTTTTTCTCTGTATTTTCTCTTGCCTCCTCTCTTTCCCCCTTCTTTCTTTCTCTGTCTCTCATCTTTGTTCTTTTTCTTCCTCTCCTCCCTCTACTTCTCTCTCTCTCTCTCACTCTTTTCTTTTATCTATCGGGAGCAGATGAGTGGATTTGAGCGTATGGTCCTGACAGATGTAGAGGAGAACAGCCTCCTTCAGTTAGAAAGGCCTGAGGGGATGAACTGCTCATGATTTGAGTTTGAGAGGCACAAATCCTCCAGCTCCAGATCACAGCAGAGATGAGTTCCACAGCACTCAGTGGATCAGTAGCTTACAAGAGGTATAATAAGAAAATAAAGGTCCAACACCCACTCGATAACATTACAGACACACACTGCAGTGTTCTACCTCACAAATAATGTCTATAATAATGTTTTCTGTGTAACTGTATCATTTCACTGAGTAATGGTTCTGTAGAAACAACACCCTCTACATTATGGCTTCACCTTCTGAGTTTTAGGGAACTACTGAACACATCGAACACGTCTGGAATTAAAATCTAATTCCAGACTGAATTTGAGGACACTACAATCTCCCACAGCGCACCTGTGATTTCTAGAGAACACTGTAGATCTCTACATTAAGCCGGGGTCACACTACACAATCGTTACCGCAATTCAGCCCCAATTCTCAGTCTGGCTGGGTCTGAGCTCGTCGACTCTAGTCTGCAGATTTTTGGGTCAGTCGGAGTCAGTTGGAGAGAGAATCGAGTAGTGTTTGAGGCGCGCAGACTCAGATTTTTGGCTTCCCGCTCGCGTTTCAGACCAGTCAGAGTTTATCAAACATGTTTGATTTTTTCGACCCAACTCTGAGTGAAATCTAGTGTAAACTGGTCAACGACTCAATCTGAACGGATTCCTGCAACAGCCAATGAAAACAGAGAGCGCGATAGAAGAACATACAGCAACCAAACAAAGAACAATGGCAAAAAAGTCACTCACATGTGGAGCGAAGCCTTTTAGTGAGCTGAGTTTAAGGCACAAGCACAATTGAGATTATGTCCATTTAAAACTCTAAAAAATACCACACTGATCACATTCTTTAATCCATGACCCTCAATTTAAAAAGCTGACCTGCTGCTATTTTACTGTGTCAGTGCAAACAGCAGTAAAAACAGCAGGAGCAGCTCCACAGTTGTTTATTTGGGTCCCCTAGTAACGTGAGAGTTTGCGTGAGTTCACGTGAGTTCAGTGAGCTCCGTTTAGACCAACAGCAGCTTTAAAGTCGAGTAGTGTGTGATGTCCAGTCATTTAGTGTGTGATCCCTAATATTTCAGTCGCCCAAAAGAATCAGTAAAAAACAGTCAGATAGTGTGAGATTCCCAGTCGTTTTATAATCTGTTAAGACTTTAAAAGTCATGTTGTGTGCCCAAGGCTTGAGTCTGAGCTGGTCGGCTCAAGTCTGTGGATTTTTGGAGCAGTCAGAGTCGACAGTTGGAGAGAGAGTCGAGTCGCGTATGAGGGGGACAGACTCAGATTTTTGGTCTCCCGATCGTGTATCAGACCAGTGGGAGTATATCAGACATGTTTGATTTTTTTGACCTTTGATCTGAGCGTAATCTAGTAGTGTATTTTGGTCAACGGCCCAATCTGAATGGATTCCTGCAGCAGCCAATAAAAACTGAGAGTGTGAAAAAAGAAAATACAGCAAGTCAACAAAGAAAAATGGAGAAAAGGTCACTGACATGCGGAGCGAAGCTTTTTAGTGAGCTGAGTTTAATAAGGCATGAGCACAATCGAGTTTATGTACATTTAAAGCCTTAAAAGCACCAAACTGATCAATTTTTTAAAAAGCGGACCTGCTGCATCTTTACTGCGTCAGCACAAATGGGAAAAAAGTTGGCAGCAGCAGAGAGCTGCTCTACATTTGTTTATCTACATCTACCAGTAAAAGAATAATAAAAATAAAATATTGTAGTGCGGTAGAGTGAGTATTACACCTTCATTCCCGTAATAGTCATTTTATTTATTTATTTATTTATGGTTTTTTAAGCTTTTCTTTTTTTATTGATTATTTTACAGTCCCTTAATTTCTAGCTGTTAACCAGATAAGCGTGATGTATAAAATCCAAAGTTGCAGGTAATTATCTTGAGTAAGTTCCAGGGCAGTATAACTAAATTATACTGAAATGCAAACAGGTTGTTAATATTAGCTGAGTATGTATGTGTATGTACAATGTCCACGTTACCGTGTAGTTATTTTGGGTAAAAAGTATGACATAAAAAGACATACATGCATGTCCTCAGTGCACAAAACTATTTGTACATGCATGAAGTACAAATAGTTTTACAGTATGTACCTCTTTATTACCTATAGATAATAAAATACTTCATGAAACTGAATCTAGGCTATAAAAGAAAATCTCTGCATTTTGCACTGTCAATCTATTACATATGACTTATCCAGTACATGGAGACATTTCTGATGTACTTGCTGCTTAATTGTGAGATCAATGTGACATTGTGTTTGTACTTACCACCTTGTTACTCCAAATATTTGTGAGACATTTTACTATGTACCTCATCAGCTAGAACTGTTAGTCATTTCAGTGTAATTTAGTTTGACTGTCTTGGTATTATAAGTATTATGAAGACTGTAGCTCAGACTTACGTGCTAAATAACCTGGAACTTTGAGGACTGTGAAAGAAAGGGTTACTGACGCATCATCTTTTCTTTTTTGTCTGTCTTAGCTTTTGAAAGAATTCTGATATTAATTTCAAATCACTGCAGTCCTCTGTGGAGTAATATGCCACACAATCCTTTGAGCGGAAGCACAAAACATATGCTGTTTTGAGATTTAAAATCTAGTCCTTTTTTCTGGCAGCTGAGAGCTGATCAGGCTTTACATAATAGCAGCTCACAGAATCAATAAAAGAGCTTCTAAGAACATTTTATTGGATTCTTATTATAGATATAAAACAGCCAGTTATATTTTTATTACTGAATACAGCTCATCCTCAAGGTCTCTATGAAACTGCACTCAAAAGCATCAGCCTTCAGCGCCAGGAAGGCAGTCAAGTGGTTCTGAAGTTCAAAATGTACTCACAGTTTCTGCAGTTTGAATAGTCCACTAAAAGCCTGGCTAGACACAGAGCTTATGCAGTTATCCTGAAGAAACCTGAAACACAAACATACGGAGAACAGGACACATGAGCTACACACAAGAGTTCATATGCAACCACAACACGTTTAAAGACATTTCTTTTGAAAGTTTATGAAGAATGTTTGATTTCCATTGTTTTTCAATTAAGAAACAATGGTAACACTTTTTGGAGGCTACCTACATAAAGACTTCATAAGACATACATAAGCATTGTATAACATATTTGTAAACAAATACTTGAAAACTTTAACCAGCTTATGCCAGACGACAAAAAGTTTATGAAGTAAATGACACTGCAGCAACATAAGGGGCCTTAAACCAAAGTAATAGACATGTGTTCGGTTTATAACATTGTCATAAACATCATTTCAAAGTAATAGAACGTATAAGGCAGATGCCGAGAAAGTATCACATACTAAGTCTTTTCAGTAACTCTGTATTTGAAGGCTACCTGCATAGTGATTTCATAACACATCTATAAGCCTTGAATAACTTATATATAAACCAGTATTTGAATACATGGACCACTCTATTGAATTACTTCAATCTGTAAAACAGTAAAACTACTTGAAAAAAAAAAAACAGTGAAGCATTCAGACCTGAGATATTTAAAAGGATTATGTTATGATCTATTTAAACCCAAGGCATTAATTGAGATAGTAATAAGCTAGTAATAGAGCATATATTTACACTTCTGAAGATAACATGTCATTTTGTCTGTGTTTCTTCAGTGCAATTCAAATGCATTATGCAGAAACTGACAAATCAGTGGAACTCCACTTTAAAGGTCTTCAGACTGTCTGCTGCTTGGATGCTGATGGATGCTAAGAACTGATGAATCGGCAGGGGTTAACAAAGTTGCGCCCAACTTCACAGCTGCTCTAATGGATGTGAGTGATAAGCTCACTGAAAGTGCAGCAAAATGTAAAGCACGTCAAGGCTAGAGGGGCTAATGAGCTTAAAATGTACATAAATTAACCTTGATTACTGGATGAATGACTTCAGTGATATGTGTATGTGTGTACACTGAGGAGCTTCTTTAACAAGCCCACAGCTAGACAGTCAAAAGTCTCTGCAATGACTCAGAGCGGGCCGTGTGCACTCACTCAGATAGAATATATTGGTAGGAAGTTCGCACTGACTGTCTTGACTGCCTTAGTTATACTTTTTAACTAGTGGCAGGTCAGCGGGAGGTCATTCAGTGCAGTTCAGATATGTGTATCGCACTGGATCAGAAATAGCATTTTCACTGGAATGAAGTAGGATCTCATTTTAAAAGAGAGGCTGGATTTACACGCCAGGAGGGAAATGAATAATACTCCATTAGCATAGTCATGATAAATCTCCCTGCACTCTGAGGACCAGGAAGTTAATTATGTATGGAGAAGGAAATTAATCCATTGCTGACTTTTCTACTCCGTTGTTTCTTTTGTTTACTCAAAGATGTTCAATACAATGAGCTGACCTCTGCAGGCACACCGCTTTCGACCCTCAATACGTTTGCTCACTGTATGAGAATGCTGCCTAGACATTGGCGTCCTGCTGTTTTAGAAAATGAAACAAGCCTGTGCAAGTTTGTGATCGCTCCATGCTGATCAGACTGCTAGAGATTATGTTAATTAGTCTAGTCTGTCCACTAAAAAGAAGCAGAGAGTGGCCTGGCATGGGCTAAGGAGCTAATCAACAACCTGTTCTTATAACAAGAGGGCTACTATGCTACTAACCATCACCATTACCAGGGAGCTATGATGTTCATCCAGGACAAATGCTCACTGATCGATTGATTGATTGACTGGGGAACTGTTAGAAGAAGAGGCTGTAAGATATTCTTACATGTGCCGGCATATCAAATTAGATGTTTCTTGGTGTTTCTATTAATGTCTCTGTGACAATACAGCGCAGAAATACGGTTCAAATATATCCGTAGCGTCTGCCTTTTCGATTCCATCTTATCGCTGGATCGTACATGACTCACATCCAGAGTTACGAGCCAATGAAGACAAGCTGACACACACTCCATCTGCTGCTCACTGTGTGTAACTATTTTGCTTGAAACTGACCAATCGACACTCAAGAAATCACTAAGGCCTTACTCATCATGTCGTAAACCTTTCTTTTTTCGTTCAGTTGCATCTGACACAGATGTGAATTGGTGTATAAAATTTGCAGTCGCTGAAGTTGCTGCAGCGGTTTTGGAAAGTAGCGATGAGGTGAACGTTTACCTACGATTTTATCTATACATTCCACTAATTTTTCGAACTTAAGACTTTGAGAAACCCATTTCAAGCACCAGAACAATTTGCCCACATAAGTAAAGCTATGTTTTCACAAGAGCCATTAACAATTTCAAAAAGACTTCAATTTTTTGGCTTTAAGGCTGAACTATCTTTTAACCATTGATAAATTCACAATATACAAATAATGTAGTACTCAGCAACTAGTTAATGGTTTAAATCAGATTTAACAAATGGACAGCTCTTGCTTCCCCTGGGAAATCATTCATCAAAAAAATGAACATTCCTTGTGGAGTCCCACAGGGTTCAATTTTAGGGCCTTTGTTTTTTAGCATTTGAGAGGTTTTGCTAAAGTTCAGACTTTTTTTCTCTTTTTTTCTACTTTCAAACACTTAAAATCCCAGGTTTATCACAAACCAAAACTCTTAATTCAACTACCCAGACTTCAGTGCAAGCTTGCTGAGCTGTTCTTAGGTTATAGATGTGTGTAATAAAACTTTGGGCCCAGATTTAGATTAGATTTTGCCACACATTGATGCTTCAGCTACCCCGGGCCAGTACAATGAAATATGTATAACCAAGCATATAATAGAACCTTTTCTAATCCATAGAAGCAGCAAATCTGGAAGGAAGCATCTCATGTGGTATCAGAGAGCTGCAGGCCAGCTCTACCCATCAGAATGTTTCAAGTTAATGGTCAATATCAGATTTCTAATTAGAAGTGAAAAAGATTTTGCATTTTGGCATTTAAAACAGCTGATCCCCTTCACTGCACATATTTACATATTCATATTCAGAGAGTGGGTTATGGATTATTACGATGAAATGCATTTTCTCCATCTAATTCAAAGCAGCCGAAACCAAAGTTTAAACAAGACTAGGCAAGCCTAGTTTTGCCGGACCACCAGGCCTCACAATCTCTACTCTGCACATTTGGGTAAACAATGCCAAGGGTGAAGCAGCAATTTTAAAAGTGTGGGGGATACAGTTATCAGTGGATGACACCCCTGAAACCCCACACCCCACATTTGTTTTTACAATCAAGCCAGTTTGTGTGCTTGGGGCAATGATATACAAACATAGCCCACAGGGAAGTTAACCAGCTCATATATAATCCACAATAAGCCTTTCAAAGTTTTTAGCTAGACACTCAATCTGCTCCAAGAATGCAAAACTATGGTTATGCTCCAAAACAAGAAGCTGGCCCCTCACAAATTACTACTTCTCTCAAACTGTAATGGGATCACTTTACCTATTAATTTCAGGGAAAAGTTATCTCACAATTCTCGTTACTTTACATCTATGTTACTTTCTAAACCCCATAAAATATCTGAAATAATTTTAATTAGCAAATCTCACATCATTTAAAAGGCATCTCACCATCTCATAGGCTAAATCCAGTGTGAAAAAGTGAGAAGTAAAGCAATTAGCTGGCCGCTGGGGGGGGTGGGGGAGTGATCGTTTAAACAGGGAATTAAGTATTAACTACTATTTGTTAAAAGTTCACTTAAATTGCAAATAATGGGGTGCTTAGTTTGAATAACTTTTTGTGTGCCATTGCAGATAAAAAGTTATAAAGAACGTTTTCTCACTGATTTTCAAATACGTTGTGTTCACAAATTTGAACATGAGAATGATAAATGCCCATAAAACTCTGCACGTTACGCTACGTGTTCTTTTTCCATTCGTTTCCTGCAGCTCACTCTCAGCTAATGCCAATTTAACATGCTCATTTGTCTAAAAAAGGGCTGACAAGGAGCCACTAGACTTCCCCCAGGTTGTGCTAAACTTTCTGTCAGCTTGCGGCAACCTACAGCATAATATTTTAAGCAAGGACACGCCTTCAAGAAACACAAGCTGTGTGTCATGAGAAGCTGGCACCCAAACCTTCTTCTGTTGGATGAATGGTGGTTGGCAGGCTAACTTAGAAGACATTACTGCCACCTACTGAGGGCTAGCTACACTCCTCCCGCATGTGCATTTCAACAAAGTTCGTCAGTCAGCCAGTCAGTGAGAAACAGCCTCCCAGGCGGTCCAGCGAAAGAAAAAAAATTTAAAACCTTGCTGATACTTACAACCTTTGAAGCTCTGTGTACTTCATGAAGGCATCTTCAGGTAATACTCGAATCTTGTTGCTCTTAAGAGACCTATGTGAAGATAAAAGCAGCAAGAGCCGTTCACAAAGGGCATTCTTGCTTATCTCATAGCACATCACAGTGTTTTTCTACTGGACGGTTCGGCCTTCTCATTTGGAGAGAACTAACAAAGTGGCTTTTTGTCCTCACATGCTTCTCACCATGAGTGGCATAAATCTGAATATCAGTTAATGATCAGAAGACAGAAACCAAGCAAAGAATGATGACGAGCTCCAGACTGCTTAAAGGTTTCACACCAACAGCAGCTTTTCATACTTTCAGCTTCTGCAGTTAGGAAGCTGAGGTATGTTCAGGAAGTCCTTGTGGTTGGTCTTTTCTATATTGTTGGGCTACTTTGTGAGGCTCCAGAGCTGCATGTCAGACAAAATTGTGAGTGTCAATGATTGTGCATGCCCCCAGCACACCTCCCTATTTACCCTTTTTACCTCTGACTTCAGGTGTCAGTATAACTGGGCATTTGACCCATCACTTTTTAAGGCACTGGGGTGATGTGCCTCCTTTATTTTAGTTACATAGAAAAAACTTCAACTTCCCTAAACTGCCACCGACCTAGAATTAAACTCAGTGGCAGAATCAATCTCCATTACAGCCGAGAGGCAGGATATTAGCAAAGTCCGCTGAGCTAAGTCAGAGATATGATAAAGGAGGGCAGTTACTTCTTTTCATCGTATGTTATTATAGCCCTGACATATGCTATAAATAGTCCTAAAAATATTAAGGCCTGCAATCTGCAGAAGTGCCCTAATGGCTCTCTCACAGTAGGGCGTAGGCAGAGGTCAGTTTGTGATGAGGGCATCACCACACTCTTAAAAATGAAAGTTTTTGACTTTTGCTTCTTAGAAAAAAGAAAAATAAAACTAAATAATACCAATACTAATAAAACTTTAGTACTTTAATCATTAGGACTGGGACCACTTTTCAATTTATTGATAATTATTGATAATGGCCATGAAATCCATAGGTAGACTTCATGATCTTTTTCTTTCCATTTTACAACAAGGAGTGTTCTGCGCTCTGATCCATGGTCTAAAACTCCAGTTCTTGTTTTAATTCATTTACAAACCCAGCAGTGAGTCTCTCTATGAGCGGGTGAGGGACAACAGCATTTTTCATTCTTATTTATAGTGTGATGTTTAGTCATTTTGAAGTCTTTCCTCAACTAATTAGTCAGCAGATGTGATTTTTAATGCACTGAAAATTTAGCTCTGATGCACTTTTTTATAAACAATCGTAGGAACAAGACAAACAGGAACAAGAAATGGATTTAACAAGCAGTAACTGCGTTATTATTTTTGTTTTAGCCAGTTCAGCTCAAAGCCACAGACACTGGGTAACAGTCCATTCTGACAAAAAAGTCCTTTACCTACTCATAGAGGAGTTTTGATCTCTGATGTCAAAGACATCATTAGTGTTCATTTGTAAAGCTGTTTACTCCAAAAGTCAGATTTTTGTAAAAGGACATTGGACACTGTCGCCCCCTAATTGCCGGTCCCTAATTTGGACTAATATGGAAAATGTCCTGGATATAATGAATGTTGCTGTAAAACACTTGTGGTCTTAAATGATAAAAATATTAATATTTATTAAGAATTTTGTTCAAATGTATATTTTTTTCCAAAGCGCTTATTATGCTAACCCTATTAATTAAGGCCTTTACACATTTGTGTTATCCCTGTTCCAACTCATCATCTAATCAAACCCTCCCAGAGTTGAAATGCATATGTTAGAGCAGGGAAATCACTAAAATGTGCAGGTCAAAGAACCTCCTGGACCAGGGTTGGGAAGATTTACATAATCACTAAGGCTTTCCTATGATGTCTCTCCAAAGAACCTTGATACATTTACTGTTAAGGATGCAAGATTCAATAAGTTTCAAACTCACAGTCTTAGACTTCATTTCAATGCCAAAGGCCATTCACCACTGAAAAATCTTTTCCCTGTGTAGGTTTACTCTTATAATGATCTGGGAAACCAGCCCAGTATCTCCAAAACTACATATGGTAGATTTTAGAAGCTCTAACCCACCGTAACTTATGACTGCATTCAGCCACAAGAGCATTAGTAAGGTCAGGTAGTGATGTTAGTTCATCAGCTCCATCACTCCAGAGATGGCAGGTCCACTGCTCCACAGCCCAATGTTGAGAGGACTTTATCTTTAGGCCTTAGGCTCATGTGGGGCTGATCCAGAGATTCCCATTCTATTGGAAATGCTTTTCTGTGGAGATTATACAGGCTGCTTGCACAACTGAACACTTGTCTCAGCAATGGGTGTATCTCAAAGTAGCTGAATTCACTAATTAGAAAGGGTGTCTGGATACTTTCAGATACATGGTGTAAACAGCACCTCAGCCAGCAACAGCTGAAACAAGATGATGCTTGCCTTAGCCCAGGGGTCAGCAACCCAAGTGATAAGAAGGTTCATTTTGTCCTTTCCACAAAAATCAAACCACGTCAGAGCCACAACATTTTACATCCATTTTATCATCTTGGCTGTAAATATGTCCCAGTATGTGCTAAAACACAGACTTACTTTGCTCTGCTTTAAGCTTTAGCTCAGCCGCTTTTCTCACATCTCCGCCAGGAAAGTTTTCCGCAAAAGTAGAATAGTTTATTATAAAATGTCTCTCAATGTTCGACTTTTTACGAGGCTGAAGTCGCTTCTCATTTGCCAGCTTCTTGATCGGATTTTCCTGTTCCACCTTAAATGGTGCCTGAGGTGCCAGAACGTAACTGCTGCACCATTTAAGGTGGAATGGGAACAGTCAATCAAGAATCTGGTGAATCACAAGCTGGCTTCAGTTTTTACGACTTTTTAGTGTTTGATAGTTCCTTGTTGCAGATTAAACGTATCAGGAAACCAGCTGGAGTGCTGGCTAGAAATGCAAATGAGTCAGTTCGTCTTCAAATCATCGACGTCTGTCTATTTATATTCTGTCTGTATATAAGTCTGTCTATAAATATTTAAAAATTTGCCTTTCCGTTAGCTACTAGCTAGGCAAGATTGTTGTCTGTGTTGCTATGGTGACCAGCAGTCTGCACACCAACCTTCACGGTTAAAGGGTGACTTAGCAGTTATGTGTTGTGTATGTTAAAATGAACACAAAATCTTTAATTACACACAAAAGCCTGGGACCACCTTTTCATTGATTCAGTTTCCAGTCGAAACGGCTAGTTGTTCATTTTTCAGAAAAAAAAAGCAGAAAACATCATTTAAATGGTAAATTACACAAACGCCTCCAACACTAAGCATCATATCAAATCCATAGGTATTGAATTTGTCCACTCTTCTCTTTTGTGCTCCTACTGCCACTTTCTGTCCTCCCAACAAAAGCTGTTCCCAAAGGAATCAGTGACATGATGTTCCTCTCCAAAAAGACACTATCATCACAAAACCAGACCCTGAAGCATTAAGTGGAGGTGCTGAGGTTGCTACAGCACTCCCTGATTTCAGGATTGCAAGTGTTAAAAATAATAATCGCTAGGGTTAGGATTAGGTTTTGGGTAAGGTTAAAGTTATGGTTAGGATTAGGGCCAGGGTTAGGGTTAGGCTTTGGGTAAGGTTGGGCAAGGTTAGGTTTTGCTTAATGGAAGTAACATATTAACAATACATCTATAAGAGTTTACTTGAATGTATTGAGATGCTTCACTACTGATGTTGTTGATGTGTTACTGATAATCTGTTAAGAGTTTATTAATCATCCACAAAGGACCACTCCAATAAAGTGTTACCTGGAGTTTGTAGTTTTATGTTTTCAAAATCCTGCACTGTTTAAGTGAATTTTCATTATAGTGTGCCAAAAACTGTTACTCAAACACATCAAGGTGCAAAGACAGAAAGTCTATGCTATGCTGAGTCCCAAGGCAGCCTAATACTGTTTTTAAACTTTAAGAATCATCGCATGTAGACGTTAAGTTTATATCTACCGTTATATCTCCCTCTCAGTGTGTATTTCACTGTTAAATCTCAGGAGTAATATAATCGGTTACCGCACCACATTTCAATAATCTGATCTGTCGCCACTCATTTGCATAAAGCTTGTCCAGAATGAGACAGCAGAATGATGATGTGCATCAGTGGTTTAATATATCGGTCATGGCAAGTCACATATAGGCTGTTTAAAATTTCAGCATCCCCACTTAACCCCTGTATAAAATCCCAGGCTTATTACATACTAAGGCTTATTATACAGTAATTACAGAGGCTTTAATGCAAACTGGCTGAGCTATTATAGAAGTATGTAATAAAACTTTGGGCCTGCTGGTGGGCCCTAGCAATTTAAGGGGTTAAAACACCTTCCCACGTCCCTGCAACTAGATATCCAAACTCAATTTAGCTGCCTTTACATCTCTTTCTCATGTGTAAATAAGATAAGTAAATAAGTTCTGAGGAGAATAGATATAAGATAATCCATTTGCATTGTCAAGGAGACAGTCAGGACTCTTAAAAACCACCTTCAAGACCTGGTAGACAACCAAAACTGTCCCCATCAGATTAACAGCACTTAAAGCTTCCATTTTTGAGACAGAGGAGAAAATCAAGCTCCACTCCTGATTTAGGCCTGAAACGATTCACAGGTGTTACTGTCAGAATATTTGAGTGGAGTGGAGAGGCAGATATTTCCATTTCTCGCTCAAAGCGTTCTGTAATCTGTCTGCTCCAACTCTGCTTCACGGTCCTCACTGACTCCTCGCTCACACATCAGACAAACCCTCTCCAGGTCTGCTCCAAATGATTCAATCTTGTGTTATTTATTTTATGCATGGATAAGACACCACACATTTCATTTTATGATTTAAACAGTGGTCCAATCACAAGCCAGAAAATTACCAAGGGTAAACATGTGTATATGCTTTTAACACCATCTTCATCATTCACACAGAAAACTGGATTAGACTAGACTAAACATCTGTAATATCTGTAGAACTCTGTTGTGATCAGTGAGAATTTCCAGTATATAAATTTGCTGAACAGCTCCGTTGCGAAGATGCTGTGTATGAACGGCCAAAGCATTCAAGCTATAGCAGTCAAGGTGCTGGATCACTCATGTCACACAGAGGTAGTCAATGTGGAAAAAGGGAAAAGTAACACCGGCACTCCGACTTTCTGAAAAGTTGCTCCACGCTTCAGGCAAAATCATGCTGCTCCACTCCCCACTCCGCACCACTCACATACTCTGGTTTCTGTCCATCCTTCCATTGTGAGAAGACAACTCAACACTATGAGTCTGAAAGGATGTTTAGCTGTTAAGAATCCCTGACTGACAAAAGGAAATAGACAAAAAAGAAGCGAATCAAATTTGCAAGTCAAACAAAGAAGCTCTTAGGACAACGGACTGACCATAACAGAGTCCAGATCTCAACATCACTGAACATGTTACTTTGATCATGACAACCAAAAATGCAATCAATTCCTAAGGCTGAACTTTTGAGGTGTGGAAAAATATCCCTGCAGATTTCTTTGAATTACTGAAAGCAAGTCTCCTGAAAAGAATGGAAGGACACACTAAATACTAGGAAAAAAGATACTACATTTATTTGTTGATGACTGGAAATGAATTTTGACTGGAAATTCAAAGATTGACTTTTTCACAGGACTGATATGTTCAAAAAATAACACTGTTTCAAATGCTGTTTTGTAATTGTAGCACTGTCAGGGAACATGGTCAGCATTGTGGGTGCACAGCTTTTGAAGCCTGTCAAGTTACCGTGATCCCTGATTAAGGCTTTCAGTTTAAACTAATCACAACTTCAGTAAGTGGAAAAGTCAGGAGGCAGGCTTGCTGTTTCAGCATCTACATGCAGATTAACACTAAGTGACAGTGAAGGGTACATACAGGGACGTAACATTAGCTGACACATGTGGGATGGAACTCAAACCGATGCGCACACATTGGAGCTCCATCTCAGTGCACTGGCAGCCGTCTGGGTATAACTGCAGAACTGAGAGAGATAAAAAGAGAGTGAGAGAGAGAGAGAGAGAGAGAGAGAGAGAGAGAGAGAGAGAAGGAAAGACAGAATGATTAAACTGAATTTTAAATTTCACATATCCACAATATTATACGCAGCAATTTAATTGCATATTCTATACAGGCTTAGATGCCTCCAGCTTCCAACTATATTAGGTGACCCAGAACTGATCCCTCGCATTTTCCTAAAGAGTTTAATGCTGCTCTTCACTCCCTCTGCTGCCACTAGGTAAAACAGATTAGTGTGTACTTACAGCAGTCTGTCGACTGCTCTGCTGGGAAGGATCTCTTAATAGTCCTGTCAAAAAAGTCAGCCCAACCACTGTTATCGCCTGGGGGTGGGCAAAGAGAGGATTAGCAGTCAGGTGCAGGGAATTCAAACTGTACAAGCAAAGGAAACCACACACTTACACCCACACACAGAATAAAAAACAGCTAAGCATGCTTTTTCAACACAATACATGTGTATTAATAAAGGGGAATTTCACTGATTTTATAAAACTTCTGCACAGTTGATTTCATAAGATGTAAAGTCATTCAGTGCAATTTGATGTAAAATGTACAATACTGGAGACATTCAACAAGTCATCACTGGTCTTATTGGTGGAGATAAGAACCAGACATCTAAAGCGTATAATGCCTCTGAAAGCTCCCTCACAGTACCTTAGTGCATGAAACATAGTGTAGACACTGTAACCTCACTGTTCCTGTTAAAAGCTCTATTTCCCATCAAACCACTCTGAATTACTTTGTTTACATCTCAGCTGAATTTAGTGGGGAAAACAGGTGGATTTCCCCTTGAACCCTTTTTCACAGTAGCCAAGAAGTGCAATTTCCATCTCATTTTGACACTCAGCTGAACCACTGCATTCTCTTTCAATAGGATTTATGGAAATGCGCATAATTTACAAAACCAGAAGTGAATTAGATTTCCGTCGCCATAGGAGAGCAATCAAGTTTGTTTAAAGGAATTTTTGTGTCAAATTTTTTTTATATTAATAAAGTTGCATATGTGCTAACAGTTTTATCTCCAGATGGAGAGGAGTGAAAAGTGTTTTCAAAGCAGTGGGGTTCTCACCCCCTTATTGCTCACTAGCAGCTCAGCACAGAGTAATAACATTTCACACATAGAGAGAGAACAGAGTCACGAGACAGTTACAACTTATGAGAAAAAAACTATTTTGTGTGATTATATTAATTAAAACAATATCAGAATGATTTTCAATTCACTGGCAGAGTGATCAGTGATAAGAGGTGCTGCATTTAGTACGGTTACCACAACGTATAGATTACTGTACAAATCTTACTGGTTGCGGACAATATAGAGGTTCATGACAGCAAATGACAAATAATATACATTTAATAAAAGTGCTAAATGTATAGTTAGGTCCATACATACATTGACAAAGTTATATTGGATGTCCAATTAAAATTAAAACTTTCAGCTTTAATATGAGGGTATTTGCCTCCAAATCAGGAAAATGGAGTAGGAATTAGAACCAATTTTTTCATCACCCCCTCCATTTTAGGGGCTTTTTTTTACTCAGTACAATCATGCCACCGTCAAAATCTTTTCCCCCATTTTTTCCGCATCCTGATGGTTGATGTGAGCATTACCTGAAGCTGCTGGCCCAAATCTGCATGATTTCATGCACTGCCCTGCTACCACACAAATGGCTGATTAGATAATTGCATAAGTGAGTAGGTGTGCAGGTGTTCCTAAGTGCTCAGTGAGCGTATATCAGCTAATCAGTTAATGGTTCCAATTCCTCTGTGATTGTAGCCTCTCACTCTTGTTCAAACAGCTGTATTTGAAAGAGAGGGCTACAAATGCAGTTATATTTACACACTGTGCCAGAGTAGGTGGGCTTCAGCCTGCGCTACTACTAATGGCTCAATGCATTTTTCTAGGAAAATGTGTAAGTCTACAATAGTGGCATTAATAATGTATAATAATGTATTGCATAAACAGCCCTAGGTAAAACTTAATAAAGAATTATCTGACTGGTTGCCTTGCTTATAAATGTTGACTTGCTTGCTCACCTATACAGACAAAACCCCAGTTCACTTCTGGTTTTGAAAACCATACACATTTCCAATTAAGTATTTTCTATAGATATTAGAGGAAAAAAATACATAGTTCAACTGAGAGACCTCTATAACAAAGGCAAATTGCATTTTATGGCTACTGTGAATAGAGGTTAAGTTTCACACTGACAACAAGTCTTGATGGAAAATACTTCAGTGTACTAATTGTACATCATTTCTAATTAAATATTGGTTTGGGAGATCATTTTATGTTCCAGTTAACTTCGAAAGTAGAAAATATAAAATAATAATTGGAGCATGTGCAAATGTTTGGACACCTTTTAGTAAAGTCTCAGAACCTAATTAACTTGTTAGGCCTTAATTGACTTATTAAGACTGGTTAGCAGGTCAAGAATTGTCATTAGAAATTGTCAACTTTAGAGTGTAATAAATTCTTTGACTCTCTAAATCTTGTGCCAACACTCAACAACCTTTCGCCTCCTCCAAGCAGCTGGCTGAGGATCTGCAAATAAAGATGCCTAGAAAGCAGTGGAAGATATCATATTTAGCATTTTCCACTCTCCAAAATGTCATTAAGACATGGCAATTAATTGGAACTGTGTAAGTCAAGGCAATATCTGTGAGGCCAAGAAAACTCTCAGACAGAACTGCTCGTATGCTTGTGCGAAAGGCAAAGTAAAACCCCCATATGACAGCAAATGGCCTGAGGAAGGTTTAGCTGGTGGTGCACCTCTCTACTGTGCACAAACACAATGATGATGTGGTCATCACAAGGAAATGTTACCTGTGATGTCATCACTACAGTCAATATCTAAAGTATGTTAAACAAAAGATAAGTCAGAGGCGTTTTTGAAACAAGTGTTGTGGACTGATTGGAACTTGGAAATTGGGTCTCATCAAATACATGTTTGGATGACAAAATGAGCAGCATTTGATGAAAAGCACACCTTGCCAAGTGTTAAGACTGACAGTGCATGCATTATGCCAGTGGTATGGGTAGATGGAAGAATTCCTCTAAATTTTGGAAGCAAATGTGACAGTCAGTCAAGAATCTAAAGCTGAACAGATTCTGGCTTTTACAACAGAACAACAATCCACCATAAACTAGTTCAAGAGCGGCAAGATGAAGGTTGTGGAACGGCTCTCCCAGTTCTCTCACTTCAACATCATTAAACATCTGCAGATTAAATATCCTGTGCAGGTCAGACGGCCCAGGAATACTGCAAAATTAGAAGTGTGCAGCAACAATGAGTGGGTGAAAATTCCTAAAACAAGAACAGAAAGACTCCTAGCTGTCTACAAAAAAGTCTGGAAGCTGTGGTATCTGTAAAAGGGGGTGTTAGTAAGTTCTAAGTTAGTTAGTTAGTTAGTATGGTGTCCAAATATAAAGTAATTGCATTTAGACTTGCAGAAAGTTTTTTACTTCTTTTCATTTTTTAAGAATCAGCTACATACACAGCACAAAAAAGAGCCAGTGTTTAACCCATGTGATGCAGGTGTAATGATGTGTGTGTGTGTGCACTGACCGCAGTGCTCCTCATCAGCTCCGTTTGGGCAGTCCTCCAAGCCATTACAGTGCAGTACCTGAGGCAGACAGATGCTCAGATTTCCACATGGAAACTGTCCGAGCGCACAGACAGACATCGACAGCATGCTGTCCAGTCCTGCGGCTGACAAACACACAAAATGGAACATTCAGATGAAGACATGTCCACTATTGCATCATTTTACATGTGTCCACACTGCTGTCATTTGAAAATGGTGCCATGTGTTCACTGAACATCGTCACTGGATCTCCAAAATGGGAACTTTAATCAATCTTTAAGCAATCATGTCCTAACTTTGTTAACATTTTATTTCAAGGAACACATTTTGGGGTTTGGTAGGGTCTTGTTTTTCTGTTCAATAAAGCCCAAATTAGATGTTTCTGTATATTTATTCACTATGCATAAAGCTTTATTCATTATGACCTGTATTACTATATGACTGGACGTCCGTTATGTGAAAATAACTGATTTGCATAGTTGTAATTATATACAAAATAATGCACATAAAATACTGCTATGAAAATTATTGATTACAAATTATCCCCCAACCTTACATCTTAATAGTGTATATTTGGCAACCTTTTATTTTTATAGGTTGTGGGTAGTGACTTCTGGAGTTTTGCTTTTTTTTCTTGCTGTTTTAAAGCTAATAAAAGTAAAAAATAACTAAAGAAGAGTTTCAGTCATCACTAATTAGCAGCTAAAAGTGCTAAATATATTTTAGCAAGCCAACTTGCATCCCATATTGTCAAGTGAAGATAATTTCATGAACTTTGGTAGTTAACCCATAATATTCCATGTTAGTTTCAATCTATTTTAACAATCAAATGCAGATGAATTGTGAACTTGTATTTCAACATATTTCTTCCTGTCAAAATATCATGAATAGCTTTTGAATTTATAATACATACTGACTTTTTGAAAACTTTAAACCCTTTTAGCCTCTAATTAAAGTTGCTGAACCTTAAAGGAACAAAATGTTGCCAATTATACACTATCAAGATGTAAATGCAGAAAAATAATCCATGCTGAGTAATCTGAATAGCAATGTCTTAAAAAAGTCACTTATTAGTCACTTATTAGTGACTTTTTTACACAGTGAATAAGGCATTTAGTGATTAATTTGGGTTTTGCTGAACAAAGAACAACAGATTAATAAACCCTAATATGTGTATGTTACAATAAAGTGCTAACAAAATTTTTAATGTAAGATAGGATGGTAACACTTTCTATGAAGGTCATGTTTGTAAGCATCTATAAACACATTTATAACATGTTATAATGCATTCATATGGCATTATAAACATGATTATAAACATTTATAAAAATGAATTACACTTTATAGCCATGTTTATTATACATTATGAATTGTTAATATAATGCATTATAAGTAGTGTTGATAACATGTTATACTGTCAGTGCCAAAGAAGTCAGTCCCAGCTTGGAGAGCATAAAGACAAATACCAAGCTAACGGTGGTGTACACTAACTTTCTCATGTTGGGTAAAACACTGATGGCAGCCCTAGTTTAAAATCTGACATTGGAAGCCTGTAATGTGCTGTACTTTGTACGTTGAAGTGTTTCAGTAAATACCTAAACTTGTAGCCTCACTCTCAACACTGGAGGAGGCTTTAGTACAGTACACTTCACTTTACTTAGAGTGGACAAACACAACTTATGAGCTCATAATTTGTTATCATCAGTACTTATAATGTATTATGTGAACGATTCATTATGCATAATAAGCATGGCTATAACGTGTAATGCATTTTTATAAATATTTATAGCCATGTTTATAATGCCTTATGAATGCATTATAACATGTTATGAATGTGTTTATAGATGCTTACAAAGGTAACATTCATAGAAAGTGTTACCCATTTTATTTCATGCAATGCTGGACCATTTATATTTCTCTTTTCAGTATGAAGTGTTCACACAGTGAAAACAACAGCTGTTGCCCTTAAATGAGGTACAAAAAAATAATAATCAAATATTGATGATATACAACCATGACACAAGGAATTATTTACCCAGTACTACAATATAGACAATAAAAATAAGTAAACATTTTTTTTAAAGTAGCCCAAAAATATGTGCATACTTTACAGACTATTACATGTGAATAGATTATTATTGATTATATTAGAATTGACTGCAACATTCGAAAATAGATGCACTGTTAGAAATAAAGATTCTGTTCAGGTACATTTTTCATTTATCAATGTACAAACGATGGAAATGTTCCCTCACAGGAATAACAGTAGTATTAACATCCAATTCTGAACCTTAAATAAGTTTTTCCAGGTGAAAAGTACAGATTTGTACCATTTCATAACCGAATGTTTTAAAACAGAGCAATAAAATAAAAAGCCTGGAGACGAGACGGGGTGTGTGGAGTCAATACAACCTAGAAAATATAATTTCAATGGACTATGGTACAGTTATGTTCCCTGACTAAAGGTACTGAGATGTACCCTTGAGGGTCCCACCCCAGTGACAGTTACATACCTTTTTTTTCTAAGCCTGTGCTGAATCACCAGCATCAGAACAATAAATCACAATGTAGTGATCCATTTTTACCACCTCAAGGGTTATCCAATCAGGACGCTATGAATATAAGAACTATAATACTGATGGATATTCAGACTTTCTTTGTGCAGACATTAGAAAGTTTTAGCGTGTAATGAACATCAATCAAGCACAAAGAAAAAGTAAGGGAAAAAAAGATTAGCAACAGTTTTATTTCACACACATCCTAGAAAGCTGGGAGTAAATGAGCAATTCATGTCAATATAACTATATTTATTGAGTCATTCACCTTCTATGTCTGCTTCACAGTGTTCTATAACCTCTGATGTTAAACGTAACATCATAAATGGTAGGTACTGGCATAAATCGGTAAATTAGGTGACAGTTCAGCTCTGAGGAAGTGTGCCAGTCCTGGATTACATTAGTCCCACCAGGTGTTCTGTACCCTCGTAAACTGACCCTTCACTGGCAACAGACCTACTATTTTAAGGGAAGCAAAAGACTCTACAAGGTCTGTGTTGTATCATGGTTAATACCACAGATCTTATAAGCTACAGAGAAAATGAGATTCCTAACAATCGTGCTAGAGCTGGTTGACCACCAAAACTGCCCCCATCAGATAAACAGCACTTAAGCTTTTATCTGCAAAAGAGAGCAGAAAATCAAGCTCCACTCTTGATTCAGATCTGAAAAAACCCAGGTGGTTTTTATGAGTCTGAAAGGATGTGTAGCTGACAAGAAGCTCTCACTGAGAAAAGAAAGGAGACAAAAAAGAAGAAGAAGAAGAAGCTGCTGGTGTTCTCAGAACAATGGACTGACCACCCCGGAGTCCAGACCTCAATAAACTTCTAAGACTGAACTTTGGAGGTGTGGAAAAACATCTCTGCAGATTTCTTTAAATCTTCTTCTGAAAAATACAAAAATGCACTAAATACTGAACTCGTTGCTGATATATTTAGTTGTCGAGGCTTCTGCTCTAAAAATGGCCATTTTAACTGGAAATAAATAAACAAAGGGATGATCTATGAGTTTCACAGTTTTGTACATTAGTCTAGCGTTTCCCAACCGTAGTGCTGCAGCTCCACTGTGCTTTCCCTGCCTTAACACACCTACTTCAGCTCAGTAGGGGGTTGAAAATGAGCTTATTAGCTGGATCAGTTGTGAGCTGAGAAAACACTAAGATGTGCAGGGCAGGGTGTCTCCAGGACTGCGGTTGGGAAACACTGCAGTTCTCCGCATGCAGGGCTGATTCTTGCCTTGTTTTGGAAGAGAGGATCATTATAGCAGGTCTGTTTTCACACAGGAGAGTTTCCAAACCATGGATTGACTGCATAGTTCCTTATGTTACTTCACAGTGTGCAAAAAGTTTTTAGAAGTTGGCAGACAAAGTTGACATATGGCTGCCATTCATCCAGTGGAAGGCGTGACTGTATGCGATCGTTCTCACTCAAAGTGTTGGAAAACGCTTAGGTATCACTGCTGACCCCTGTTATCTCAGGGATTGATTACTATCTTACAGGTCAGTGGTCTTCCTCACTTAAGGTGCTGAAAAAGATTTGAGTAGAATTGCTTTATGATTTTATTTTCTAGTTCATTGTCCTTTATTAGCATTTATTTTACTGCTTTGATCTCCATGCATAACATAAATCAGCTGAACCGTTCATACACTCGTATGCAAGTATGCACGCCCTTGGTCAAATGAGATTATACTGGTTTTCTAAGTGAAAATAAATATCATATTCTGTACAGAGAACATTTTTAAAATAAACTAAAAAATAAAACAAAACATAATGTGGCCTGTGAAAATGTTGTGGAACATTTTGTATTTCATTTTTTCCAATATGTCAAATTCAAAAAAGGGAAGCCACATTTAAGTGTGTTCTCTGTAGAGGATATGTTCATTACTTTCACAGGGGGTGATACATTTTGAAGACACACCTGTAAAACATGGTTCTTTAAGGGTTCTTTAGTGAAGAAAATGGTTCTATATAGAACTTTTTTGAAAAAGGATCTATATAGCACTAAATATTGTTACGATGTCAGGCTTGTTACAATAGAACTTTTTGGTGCTATACACAACCCTTTTCAAAAAGGTTTTATCTAGAAACATCTACAGCACATTCTCCATCAATCTGAAGAACCTTTCACAATTCAAAGGACCCAAAGGGTTCTCTGAATGTTCGGGTCCTATAGAGAACCATTTTCTTTACTAAAGAACCCTTGAAGAACCATCATTTTTAAGCATGTGCGACTATACAACATGAAGTATTTTTACTTTTTGAGTTGAACTATTTTTACAGTGATGGGTCGATGCAGGTTCTATTGTTTTTTGAGTTTCATTGGTACCAACACTCTGTTGGGATTTGTTTGCTTGTTTTCTATTCCTTTCTGTCGTTTTAGTTCATTGTTCAACTCCAAGCCGCAATGAACAGCTGTCACAGATGGGGGTGTTTGTAGTCTGTCACGAGACATTCACTTTCTGAGCACTTAATAAAAGAAAAGTGCAGTTAATTGAGATCCTCTGCATTTACTTACTATGTGAAAAACATGACGGTAGTTCATTTATTTTGCATTGTGAAAAAAAAAAATAA